TTTCAATCTGAATTTTGTGATTTTATATTCTTTTAATTTTAAGTTGAACCTTAATTTTTGTAATTAATTTTAAAAGTTTACTCACATGCCATGTGTCATATTTTAAACTGTTAGATTATTTGAATGGTTTAGATATTGTGAAATGCGGGTAAATACACAGATCCTAAATGTAGAGGCTCAGGATCCCGAGCCTCTACATTTAGGATCCGTGCATTTATTGGCATTTTGTGAAATCTAAGCCACTCAAATAATCTAACCATTTAACATATGACACATCATTAATTTTATGTTTTATGTTTTTTTTTCCCAGAACTGATGTTAACGTTAAAGTTAACTTGCTTGAGTTTTTTTTCCCTAGTTACTCGTCACTATAGATCAAGGCTTCAGTCCTTTGGAGATGCAATAACATTCGTGGGTTGTTGAGTTATTTATGTTCGTAGCTGATCTTCATATTGAATTAATTAATTCTATTCTATAATTGAGAAAAGCTTGCTCTTTTGCTTTCTCTGATTGTGTTGTGAATTTTAGTGTTTCTTGGTGTTTAAGATATTTGTGAATTTTTGAAGTTCAAGCCTCTTAATTGAAGCAATTGCTAGCTTTTGAAAAAAAAAATATAGCCCCCAACAATCAGGCAACATTTGGCCCACCATTCGGCCTCTTTGACCTAACTCGGTTTGACCCAATGACATGATACATTTAGTCTATTTTCTAGATATGACTTTTGGGTGTGAAAGAGCTAAATGTGAGGGTATAGCCCAGTGCTGGAGATGGCCTAACAAGTTCTTAAGTTGAATTCAGCCGCACGAACCAGTTCGGAACAAGTGGAAGATACCAAATACGTTACTCATGAGAAAAACTTCAACCACGTTAAGAAAACAGATAAACCAATACATGTTCAACTTTATTTATTTAGTCACACTCTTGCGTACAGTTATTGGAGCAAACCAGAAAACAGAAATGGGTGTAAGCCTAGGCATTTTCAGTGCCTATAGCTCATCTCTTATTGCAGGGAGAGGGTGTGGAGGATTGGAGTTGTGAATCTCTGCTTATATAGAATCCTATTTATTATTATGATAACCGAGGACTGAGTAAACAGTCTGAACGATGCTCGACCCAAGAGCTAGGAGAGCACCAAGGAAAGCAACAACAGTCCATGGGCTGCTGAAATGCTCATGAAAGAATTGAGCCATCACTCTGTTACCCCAGTTACTGTAGTGCTTTTCTATTTTGCCTTTAACAGAGTAGTAAATGTCATTGTTAGGCACCAAGTCAGTGCCTATCTCATTGAAGAGCTGAGCCACCTCCTCGTCCTTCCCAAGGAGGTTTCGAAGTATCAGCTTTTTCCTCAGATGCTTTACATCATCAGGATGATCGATGAGCGAATCGAGGAAGCTTATGTAAGAGGTGAACCCGAAATCATTGTGGAAATCGGGACACATTTCGTAGGCTATCAAGTTCATGAACTTGGGTCTGGTCGAGTCGTCTACTTTTATTTTAGGAAGATAAAGGATTCCATGGCATAGGGAAGAATTAAAAGATATGCTCCTCAATGAGTTGCTATCACTAGGCCTAAACTGGATCCCGGCTGCCTGAAGCTCTTGCACGTTGCGAAAAGAGTGGGGAAGTTTAGTACCTTTTGTTTTCTCACTAGATGAAGTTCCTAGCATTGTTGTCCGAAGAAGCTCAAGCAGGTGAGTTGGCTCTGCTTCTGGATTTTGTTGGTTCTGAGCAAGGCTGTTTCCCCGAACAAAGTCATCGATTGATTTCTTCAATTCCTTTTGTATTTGGCTCGAGCTCATCAACAGCTGGAGGAGTTGATAAGGAAGTTGGTTCTCCAGCAAGAACATGTCATGTTCTACAAAGGCCACCTGGTCTCTCTTGATCTGAAAATTTTCTAATTCATCATATTTGTATATGAATTCCAGTGTGGAGCACCCATCAACGAACAACATCCACGCGAGGAATTCGTCGCCATAGTCCTTTGTTGCTTCCTCATCATAGCAGTTCCTTAGTGCATTGATATTGTCCTCAACCTTCTTGAGCAGATCTGCATCATTCTGCTTACTGTCTTTGACAAAGTTTGCAGCTAATTTAAGCTTGATTTTCTCTGCATACTTGTACTGTGGCTTACGAGCATGGTGGAAAGGACCGAGTGCTGCAACAATTGGCTCATAGTACTTGTCGAATTTTGTGTCTTGTCGGAGCATGAAGGGAACTCTTTGGATCTTTGGTTTCACCTTTTCAGCCTGAATTGGTGGTGCTTCTTCCCTTAATTTGTTGAGTCTCTCCTCCCTGGGACTTGCCTCCTCATGGATTGTAATACTCACCTCAATTTCTGCACGTTGGTCTTGGTCTCCTCTGCTTCCTTGTCCACCTCCTCTTTTGGTAACTTGCCTCACTTTTTCATCTTTTTGGGCCATTTAATTTCAAATTGTGAAGATATGTGGCTATTCTTTTTTTGGGAGGGGGGTTTGGACTGAATGATCTGTGGTTATAGATGGTGATTCTAGTTTTTACATGCATATCTATATATAGTTAGTACAACAGGCCACAAAAATTCACTACTTGAGTTGAGCTTCAAGAAAAGAAAATAGAAGCTTAATTTGGAAGAGAGATGCTTGATTGATGTTTAGATGTAGATGACAGTGAGTCACACAATATTAAGATTAATATAGTGAAGGAAGTACACTTGATGACTTTATATGAATCTGAAGATTGGTATATATTTTATGAGGAAGAAGCTTTTTATCTCCAACAGAGAAAATAAAATGCCTGATTGCCTTGGCATAAATATTCTTAGTTGAGAAAAGCTTGCTCTTTTGCTTTCTCTGATTGTGTTGTGAATTTTAGTGTTTCTTGGTGTTAAAGATGTTTGTGAATTTTGGAAGTTCAAAGGTTTGCAGATTGACTTGTGAAGTACGTGAAGCATCTTCAAGAATGGACGAAGATGCTGGAGGAACAAGCAGTGAAGAAAACCGTGGAAGCAGTGGTGTTTGTGAAGAGCACTCAGTACTCTGCAAATGATGATATCTTTTCATCAGATGAAGGAAAAAAAAATTCCAAGCATGTTAACTACGTTAACATCAGTTTGGAAAAATAAACACTTTTAACTTAAATATTTATGAATACATTAGATTAGTTAAGTGGCTTAAATTTTACGAAATGTGGATAAATGCACGGATACTAAATGTAGAGGTTCGGGATCCCTCTAAAGATGGCCAACTATTCGACCATTATCACACTCCAAACTTTGGAAATTCGTAGCTGTCCAGATTTGAGGAATTTTCCTTAACATATAAGAATTGTCCTTCGCTTAGATCGTTGGCCATCTCCGACTGTCCTAGTTTGACTTCACCTCCAGGACTGCAAGATATCAGTACAGTGCTGCCATCTCTCCATTCAAGCGTGCCCTATGCTGGAGAAAAAAACAGAAGCCGAAGAGAGATGGAAAATGGCAGAAGATGGCTCACCGTTCGCAAATTTACAGTACACAATTCCGGAAATAACTTGGCAAATGTCACGAGATCGAAACAAAAGCTTAAATATAATCTTTGTTCTGTGACACCTACTATCACTTGTGTTTCTGTAATGCTATTTCTAAATTGCTCTGTACTACCAACAGTCTTCATGACATAGAAGCTGCTTAGGTAAGGTGCATGATGCCCCTAGTTGCCTGTAATTACTTTGTTACTTGAAGTTGCAACGTTGCCGGAATTACTTCAAACAATCTGTATCTCTGGTTCTATTTCATAAAAGATTCCATGAATTGAAGTCAATGTACAGTCAATTCCAACCATTATCACTACAGCTGAACACTGCTAAGAAAAAGCACAAATTTTCCAGACTGATATTGTAAGTGAAATTTCTAAGCAAATATATTCTCATAAGAAACAACCATCTTCAAATAGATCACAGTAGCATCACAACGGCATTGAAATTAAAGGGATTAAAAGAAAAAACGCACTCTTCTTCGAAAAGTTCTGCCACCGCTGAATTTGGACTCTACATCTCGTTATTGGACAAGATACTCTAGCCAAGTAAAAGATAATACTCATTAGGCCTACAGTGCACTGTGTTTACACGCGACGTTTCTTTGGGAGGCGACAGCCATTATGGGGTTTTCGGGTTGTATCTTCAATATATACAATCGGATTCAAACCCACTTTGGAATTGGTAAAGCCCTCTTTCCAGCTCACAATGGCTTGCCTTTTCTTCTTAAAATAAGTAAACCCTTTCACCTTCACTACAACTGATTTTAACCCGAAATTTCTAGCCATCCGTCCAACGTGTTCCGCAGTTGTTTCAGCAGCATACTTAGACAATTTTGGTCCTCCTTTCATTCCTGGTAACGACCCGGCTGAGGCCCCAAGTTTCTTGTTCCCCTTTGAGTCCGTCACAGTAACAAAGGTATTGTTTTTCATCAGCTTTAGATGGACAATATCAGCATTTTGCTCCATATTATATCGAGGAAACTGAGAAAAACCAAAGTTGTCCTTTCCATCCTCCTCTAGAATCCCCCTCACAAAGTTCATAGACCTGGAATTCCTTGAAACAATCTCAGAAGAATTGAAACCTTGTTGAAAATTCTCTATTGGACCTGTAAAGTCCAATATATTATCAATCATTTGCAAGAAAGTGACACCAATTAAAGATTAGTTTCCCAGCAAAGCTTCTTGATTCACCATCATATATTTTATCAAACTAATTTCACAAGTCACATCGCAGTATACAAAAAATGAAATTCAAGTACACTCAAAACAGTAGAACAATTGCAAATTGATTTGAACCCAATTGCAGAGATGTTAAAAGAAACTCATTTAACACAGAATAAACTCAAGAACCAACAAAACCAAAAGGTGCAATATCCAATAGTACGACAGAAATATTGGCCAAAAAGAAAGGGCAGGAAGAAGAACTTGCCTGGTGGCGTTCCAGAGACAGAGAAAGACCTCGACGCAATGAGCTGGCTCTGGCATCTAGCAAGGCGATGAACCAGAGACGAAGACAGCCGAGAGAGAGACGAATACATGGCTCACTTTAACTTCTGTACAATATACTGTAATCTCAGTCAAAAATGAACAACGAATTTAACAAATAAATGGAAAATTTCTTCCTTTATTGTTTGATAAAATTTGTCAAAATCGAGAAGAAGAGGCTGGACCTGGTGGAGGTGGAGCAGAACTTTCTTCTTCTTCTTCCTTCTGGATCTGGACCTCTGGTTCTTTAAATTGGTGCAGCCATTTCTTTTACGAAGGAAAACCTAGCCTAGAGGCTGGGAGTGTGTGATTAAATCAAGTCTTCGAATTTACACCTTTGACCCCATATGTTTTATAATTTTGAAAACGACCACCATAATTTCCAAATATTTTTAAACTAAACCACAGTCGTATCCCACGCGTATTGGTTCCGTATACCGCCGGTCAACAAAATTATATTTTCCATATTGCATACGTATTGACGAGTATTGTACCAAAATCAGTGGTAGACTCAATTCAAGTTTTATATTTAAGTTAGAAAGTTAGGATCTGCGTAGTGTGTGTGAATGATTTCCATTCCACCTTACTCTAATATTTACTAAAACTTCATAAATAATAGTAAGATAGGACCCACACAAAATCAATAATCTCATTACTGATATCCATTGTTGTGCAGCTTTAAGCGTCTCACTTCGATGTTGCTCTTTAACATGAACTGTTCATTTCGAAGCTTTTTTCATGCCAACATCCCAAATTTGAACCACCTCAAGGGTAAATGTTTTTTTTTTTTTTCATGACAAACCCAACTTTTTAATCCTCTTTTTGAGTCCTCCTTTGTAGAAAAAATAAAAGGCTCTAAGCGTCTTATTATTGTACATGCTCAACATGTACATAACATTAACTACTTTGTAGAGTCTTATTAACAAATATAATATCAATTTGGTACTTTACAATGTGAAAGGAATGGAATATATGGAGCAACACAAAAGTAGCGTGGGGAAGCTTCTACATATACACCAAATATAGGCATCACCAACTATCAAATAACTTTCCATAATATTCTTATTGTGAGCTTAACACATAAGCTTTGATCTAACCCATCTCTCAAGGAATCATGCAAAGATATGAAAGTTGCAAACAAGAGGAAAAGTTATTGTTCCCTCTTCATCATTCCACTTGTGTCTATAAGAGAGAGAGAGAGAGAGAGAGAGAGAGAGAGAGAGAGAGTTAAAAAATAAGTCTAATTTTTCAGCTCTAAAATTGTTTCTGGACTTCTTTCTTTCACACACATTATATTCTCCAATCTTCTTTTCATGCATATATATATCTGAGTGCCAGAACCTAAAACCACAAATCCCATTTCATATTCTTCTGGTGTTTTCAGATATTGGGTTGTGCTGGAGATGAGTGATCCCAAGTATGGTTACGCTTATCCACCTCAAGGTATGTACATATATATTACTCCTTATTTTTTCGCTTTCTAGTTTTCAACCTGTATAAAATTGTATGCATGTTTTTTCTTTGTCTTTGAATCCTGAATCTGTTCTTTAATCTGTACGGTTAGATTATATGATTCTTCCCTTGCTCGTCATGATCATATATAATTCTCCTGTGTTTGTGTAGAATTTAGAGAATATTATAGGTTTAAATTTTATTTATTTATTTATTGATACATATATATATATATAAGTAATTACTTTGGTGCCTTTATGGCTTAATTTTCTATAATAAAAAATGTATGTGTGTGTTCTTTTGGTTCTAGGAATGCTAGCTCTAGACTTCTATACACACATATGATCTTAATTACAAATTCACTATGAGGGATCTTGATGTAATTAGTGGGAATAGTATTTACTACAAGATTGTGCCAACGGGATCTAGCCTAGTGGAAAAGACATTGACTTGTAGACCAGTGATTTAAAGTTCAAACCCCATGACACCTTGGCAGTGTGGGTGAAAAAAACCCCTCACCCTCAACTTCTGAAGAAAAAAAAATCCGCATGATTGAAGTTTGAGGAATTTTTTTATATTGTAATTTAGGAACTAGTTTGAGGAAATAGTTTTATTTGAATATTAACTTAATTTTAATTTAAACCAGGGCCTTATCAAGGACCTCCTGTGATGGCTCCTCCTCAATATTATGCTGCTGCTCCACCACCAAAAAGAGAACCAGGTTTCCTTGAAGGATGGTAATTGTTCTTCTTTATTCCATACTTTCTCTTCCCAAGTGTCTTTCCTTTTCCCCTTAATTATTACTTTTAGCAAATTAAATGGTATTTGTTGGTATTTTCTTTTATCAAAAAAATTCTCATACAGTTATTAATTAATTTCTTCTTTGCCTAATTGTGCAGCTTTGCAGCATTATGTTGCTGCTGTCTCCTGGATGAGTGTTGCTGCGACCCCTCCATTTTATTTGTTACCTGATAATACCATGACCTTTTGTACAAATTGAAGGAGGAGATGTTCTTTGTGTTTGATGTTATCAAGTATACACAAATTTGTAATAGTACCAAATACCACTTCAACAAAACACACATATACCACCGCATATCTATAGAGTTATATTTGTCTATGATGGAATTGGAATGACAATACAATGTTGTAGGACTATTGATCACAATGTGGTGTGCAAATTTATTATTATTATTATTATTATTTTGGATACAAGCGATATTGGGGGAACGAGTAATCGAACTTGGGAACTCAGGGGCAGGAATACTTTCACAATCCTATTTAGTGACTTCCATTCTTTTTTTGCTTTGTTCCTTTTTAATGACTTGAGTAAAATTAGAAAGACACCCTGTGGATCCCCTAATATATCATACAACAACTTTATTGCCTCACTATTTGGAAGATTACCAAACGAGATACAAAGATCATCAAGCTGATGACTCAAATTAGCCAATTTGCATTACGAAACACATGACGAGTTTGAATGACTTGAAAGTCTGTCAATCCATAACAAGCGAAAACAAGCGTCACGGTGAATGTTGACCGTCCTTTAACAAATTGATTAAACTTTGAGAATGCCCTTTAACCCATAAGCAAGATAATCTTGACTTTTTAGACCAAATAAGTCCATTCTTCAGAACTATTGCTTCCGCTTCAATGACTCAAGTTAAACCAACTTGGATAGGTCCTGCAAAATTAGCATTTCCTTTGAATTTCTAATAACAAAAACACAAGTTTATTCCTTTGGAACCAAATTTGCCAACAAACAGTTATAATATTTTTCCACATAAAGCAAAGCTAATTTGTTCCAATTCAAATGCAACCAATCCACAATATTAATTACCAGAAGCAAAGGTATAAATATGCCAAAATTGCCTAGCAAAAGTACAATCAATAAACAGATGATTAAAATGTTCAACATCTTTATTACAAAGAGGACAAGAAGAATCCATAGCAGTAAGTCTCAAAAGTTTTTCCCTAGTGTTAGTCTCTTTTGTAAAAGAAGCCAAACAAAGATTTGAATAGGGTCACGCTCAGTTTCCGAATATGTTTAAGGAAATTATCTGCATACCTATCCTTTCTTGCTGGTACCATACTTCATGGAAAATGTACCATGGGGTTTAGATCCCCTACACAAACTTATCTGATGTAGGAACAAGAGGCAAATTTTATGCCTCTAATAGAATTAACTACATTTGAAAGGAGCATTGTACATAAACTTTCCACATTCCAATTATCAAAAGAAATATAATCCGCAACTGATTCCTTAAGATTACTTATAGAAGAAGAATGACTAAATTAATTAAAGGAAAAGCATAAACTCAAGTCCAGAATTTAATATCATTTCCATCTCCAACAATCCATCGTATGCCTTTGAGTAAAATTTCCCTAGCTTGTAAAATTCATTTCCAAGAAGTAGAATCAGTATCTCTAGCTTTCACTTGAAAGAAAGAATCATGCCTCAAATATTTTTGAGAAACTAATGGACCCACCAATTATCAAGTTGAATCAAAATTTTCCAACCTAATTTAGCTAAAGGGGCCAAATTAAAATCTTCTAGATTTCAGAGTCCTAAACCACCATTCTTCTTTAATTTAGAAATAGAGTTCCAAGCAATTGGAGCCTGCTTAGAAGTATCTGGTCCCTAGAAAAACTTCCTGAAAATGTTAGAGATCTTATGTACCACATTTTTGGGCCAAGAAAAAATTAGTTTACCAGCTCTAGAAAGTGAGCCGGACTTCCAACCAGCCAATTTTTTCTGTGTTTTACTAATGGGGTCCTTAGAATTTGTAGAATCAGACCATCAAATACTATTTTGAATCCCTAAATACTTACCTATTGTACACTTAAATGGATTCTAGTAAAGAGGATAACATTTCTCTTTAGTACATCTCAGTCTTATAAAACAAAGTTCCCTATCTCGTTCAACAACTGATTACACGCAAAGTATTGATGAGTGAAAGGTGTAGTATTGGGAGGTCTTGAAGGAAAGCAGCTCCAAATCCAGCGGTGGTGCTGGGGGATTTATGGCGGCAGCGCTTTGGCCGGGAAATCTGAACCATTTGATAAATCTTAGTGGATACTATTTTAGATTGAAACTTAGAGCGGACACTTCAAAACTTATATCACAATAAGAGGTTACAATGAAAGTTGAACCAGTGTCAAGTTGTTAGCGACTTTGTCATGCCACTCAGTATGTTAGGTGGCAATACATTACTCTCGGAAGTTTTTCTACTAATTAGCAACTAGACAAAAAATACAAAAAATTTGGCTGCTTAAAAGTGCTTTGTAATTTCTAGCTTCCTACTATCATTCCAGTACTCTTCCGAACTAAGAAAATGGGATTCATCTCCAAGTGAAGCAAAGTATTTATGTTCCAAAGAAAATTAACAAAATGAGTAAGCAGAATGGGGATCCAAATACACAAACCAGTTTAAGGAATAGCATGAGCAGCATCTGATGGCGGAAGGGGAACCAGTTCTGTTCGGAGTTCCTTGACAACAGCAGCCAAAGCCTCAGGGTTGAGACCCAAATCACATAGCGCAATGAGGATGGAGAGGGTGTGACGATCAAGCCCTGTGTCAAGAATGTTGGACATCTGAAATGCTAGGTCTAGAGATTCCCGGGCAGTTTTTGCAGCGACCGCGTCCATATTGAGAAGCTGAAGAAAAAACAAATAGAAATGAGAAACATACACATTCAAACCTCACTGAAAATAATAGATCAAACCATAGTTGCCTGATCCGCTCACCCCCTACGAATTTCGATCTGGATCCCAATCGCGGTACGGTATCGATCTGGATCTGGAACGAAAGATTTAACGACTCAGTTCCAGGGGAGAGAACACTACCTGATAGACGACGTCGCTGCTACACAACAGCACCTGACCGCCGATAGCAGACGAGAAATCGAGTGCTATAGCTGCTGAGCCCACGTTTGATTCTTGGTCTCTTGGAAGATATTGGGTTCGGAGAGGATTTTTTTGGACGAATAGATTCCAAGAGGTGGGATGGGTGATAAATGGATAGGCGTAAGAGCAATTCCAGTAGACAGCCCAGCCCAGGCATAAGCAGCTCCAGCGGTGACGTCCAGCCCGGACAGGGCCCAAGGCAAGGCAGGCGCTGACGTCAACCAAGAAAAAAATCGAAACAAATTCGGAAAAATTACCAAAAAATTATACATACATGGATATTTATTCATATCATACATATAAATAAAAGGGAGACTTTGGAAAAAATCAAAGAAGAGGGAAATTTTTTAAAAGAAGCCAAAATTGACAAAATTGGCATTATTTATTTTTGGACTTCCTAAGAAATCCTTTACATTTGCATGTCTTTGGTTTGAAAGTTGATAAGTTTTTCTGTCTTTTTTGAAAAAGCTTTGGCTTTTTCCAAAAGTGAAAAAAAATTTGTGGCTAAAACCTAAATTTACTTAAATTAAAATACAAATTTATAAATAAACCCAATCCTAGACATGTATTTATAAAAAAATCCAAGCACTATTTAAACATAGAAACACACCCAAAATCAACCCCAAAGTCAACTTTTTGGGTGTGTTTATAAATGAGTTTTGAGTGTGTGTAATGATGGGTTTTGAGTGTGTTTATATGTTAAAATAGTGCTTGGGTTTTTTTATAATTTCAACCTCCATTTTGAGTGTTTTAGTGAAACTCCCAAATTAAAATTAATCACATGTGAATAGTAATTGCCTTTGAATTGCCATGGTAAGGACAGCTCCAACGCAAGGGGCAAAGGCAGGCAAAAGGCAGCCCCAGGCCCAAAAACCCCCTCCAACACGCAAGGTCCAACTCGGGCAAGGGGTGGGACCCACTAGCCAGGGCAAGCCCAAGGGTTAGAATTGCTTGGGTTGTTGTCTGAAGGCTGCTGATGTCAGTGTGACGTTAAACTATTTGAATTTCAGCTGCTAACGTGGCTTCTCTTGGAGCCTTCGATCCAAAAATCTTATTCAATCCAACGGCTGTCCAATTTTTGGCTAAAAAAAATTGAAAAAAATATCAAAAAATTCTAGAATTTTTTTCTATAAATACCTACCAATATTATTCACTTTCCACACCAAATCTTCATACCAATTCATCTCCTTCCAATATTTTTCACTTTCCACACTAAATTTTCTATTAAAAAATTTCATTTATGTAAAAATACAAATGACCTCTTCCATCGAAGCCGGAGAGTTATGGATAAACGTTCGAAGTAGTCAAAATCTTGGCGACGAGGTAAAAAAAAATATTAATTGCCTTTTTATTCAATTTATTGTCATTTTTTTAAAATATATTTCTTGCATTTCCAATTTCATTTTTTTAATAGATTATTGAAGGCAAAACAAAAAAGAGGAAAAACATTACACATGGCTCCTTAAGTGAACAATGCTCACAGTCGGTTTTCGTGTCGAAAATAATGGTACTATTACGTCCCTCGAAGGAAAATACTCCCCCACGTCGTGATCAGGTGGAACCGCCTCCTCTAATAATTAAGTCATCCTTGTACTCAACTGTGTTGGACTAGGAGGACCGGGAGTATTTCAATTGTATGATGAGTGAATAAGTATTTCAATTGTATGATGAGTGAGATATGAATTTTATAATAAATATGAACACGTGGCAACTGAAAATCTTACCCGAAAATTTCATGTGAATTTTATAATAAATATGGATACATGGCAACCGAAAAATCTTATTCGAAAATTTAATCCTAACATTTTATTCAAAAATCTTATCCGAAAATTTTATCTGAAATTTGAGATGAGAATTTTATAATAAATAGTGACACATGGCAATTGAAAATTTTATCTGAAAATCTTATCAAAATTAATGGTTTAAGTATAAAAAATAGAATATAAATTAAAGTGAATAGTGACAAACCTTGCATTGCCTTTGCTTTGCCCTTGCCCTTTGGGGTGGAGGTGCTCTAATGGGTCGACAAGCACAAACAAAAATTATTATGGCATATACTATTCAAGTGAACAGTAACCACCCTTACTTGCCCTTACCATTTGCCATGGCAAATGGGCGGAATTGCTTTCAGGGGGAACATACTAGAGGTTGGGTGGGTGGGTGTGTCAATATAATAAAAGTATTGCTTATGGATTCAAGAATTCAATCCTGTTCTCCTGGACCCTAGTGGCGGAGCCTTGTTAAGGCCTGAAGGGGCTTGGGCCC